TTCATGCCACAGGACATCATACTGAGTGTTGGGAATACAAACACAAAAAGAGAAACCGTCCTTATTCTCAAGATTCTTACATTCTAGAACACTGGCCCTGGAGTCATGAGGACCTGAGTTCAAATCTGGCCTCAGACTTGTACTACCTGTGCGACCCTAGGCAAGTCACTTAATCTTGATTGCCTAAAAAAAAAAAAAGAATTTTACATTCTGCTTGTGAGTAAGAAGATGGAGAGCTTCGAGGTAGAACGTTATAAAGCGCTTGTGAAATGGGGCTCTTCAGAAAAAAGTCAGGGTTCAAAACAGCTCACTTTAACAGGTAGCAAAAGAACAGCTGTCCAGTTGCTCTGAATGGTAGGGAACAATAGTAGGAGGTACATCAGAGCAGCAGTTCTTAACCTGCAGTCTGTGAGCTTAAAAAAATTGATAACTGTGTTCAACATAATTGATTTCCTTCGTAGTCCTCTGTATTTTATTAGAATCGACTGAAAGACTTCAGAGACACTGGCACAGGCCCGTCCAGCATGGTGTGGCCACATTAAGGAAGGCGCTATGCTCTATGGGCAAAGCAGCATTGCAGTAGCTCAAAAGAAAAGTGAAATGCACAAATTTAGAGACAGCTCCACCCCAAATGTTCATGGGGCCTATTTGTGCCCTACCTGTGGTGCAGCCTGTCTGCTTACCACATGGTTCCTTTCAGGTACTACTAGGTCTGCATGAGTTATTGTTCATTCTAGGACTTTTAAAGAGATATTAAAAATATTTTAAATAATTTTAGAAGATTCAATACATATGTAACTGAGTTTCAGAGTGATTTTCTCCAAGGCAGGGGGAGAACAGGTTCTGGAACCTAATTGTGAATTCTGGGAATTATACTCCCAGACAGATAGCATTCTTTCTACCTTGTGAGAGAAATTACTGTGATGTCTATATCATGGGTAGATTTTCTGCTGGGATAGGAGTTTTGGAAGGAGACAACAGCAGAACTTATTATTATTATTATCAATATAATGCTGGACATTTTGAATGGAAACTAATAATGGGGAGTGGATGCAGTGACAACTTTCTGCTGCTTCCATTCCACCTGTTAAAAGAATTCTAATGGGAGTGATTGGAACGGACTGTATCTTCTAGCTATGACTTTCTTTTGAGAACTATGGAAAGTCTTCCAAAGATTTAGCTAACCCAACTCCCTCTCCTATGCCTGTCGCTGGCGGGCGCTTTGTTATATGGTCTCCTCCATTTCTTAAAACTGTTTCAATTTCCAGATTTTCCTTCATGTAGAAATGATGCTTAGCTATAACTATTCTGTGATGCATGTCTGTATAGTAATTATGTGCTCGAGGGAGTTCAATGGAGGACAACAGAGGCTGGCTGGGAATTCAACACAATTCAACTAGAAATGATAGGCTTGGTCCAAAATAGTTGCAGAGATGGGGAACCTGTGGCTCATGATCTGGGCTCATGGATTCCTGCCCAGGTCTATGCCTCAGCTGCCTAGGTGATTTAGGGTGAAGCCTTTTTTTTTCCTGTGCCATTAATTTTCTAATCTGTAAAATGGAAATGAGTAATAAAGAGATGCTTCTGGGAGCTGCCTGACATCAGGCCCTCAGAGGTCCTGTCCGAAAGAGAAGGGCTTTGTAGTATTGGCCATTTGCTTTCCACAAAATGAATTAAAATAGCAATATTCGTGGCTGAACAGTTTCCAAAAGGATTCACTGTCATTCCCAATCTTCCACAGTAATTCTAGAATCAATGGCTGGCACAGAGGAAGTGCTTCATCTGTACCTGTTGATTGACTGAAGGATGGACTGCTTTCCTTTGGGGACCTCCGAGACCTTAAATGTCAGTCTCTTGCGGCATTCTTGTACAGGATGCACAGTCATGGACTGTGTCCCTTCTGATTTTACAGATGAGGAAAGTAAGGCACAGAAATAGGTAGTGACTTACCCTAGATCACACAGAAAGTCGGTGACAAACGCATAAGCCTTCAGGGACAGAGGACCTGGGAATCTGGGCATTCTCCCAGAAGCACAAGAGAGCAAAAGGATAGTTTGATGCTGAGTGCTGAAAGTTACAATCCTAAAAAAGTATGCTTTTAAATCATTTTTAAAAACCCCACAGACACAAAAAGACGTAAGTAGAGAAAATCAGTTGGAATTTGTTCATATTTAAATTTTAGATGAAAAATATGAGTTGCCTTTGGCAATGGCTAAATCAGGGCGGGGAACCGGCAGCCTCGAGGCCACATGGCCCTCTAGTTCCTCAAGTGCAGCCCTTTGACTGAATCCAAACCTGAGAGAGGGCAAAGATGTTGAATGCTATCTGCAAGGGCAGACGGCCAGGTGTTGGAAGCATCACCAAAGCCCATGGGCTGGTATTCTACCCTTAACTGATGAGAGAAAGGAGGGAGGAGGGGAAGGAAGGGAAGGAGGGGGAGACAGACAGAAAGAGACAGAGAGACAGAGACCAAGAGAGTGAGAGAGAGACAGGGAGACAAAGAGAGAGACAGAGAGTGAGAGTCTGCGATGAGATAGAGAGACAGAAACAGAGACAAAGAGGGAAGGTGAGATAGAAAGAGAAGACAGAGACGGAGAAAAGGAGACAGAAATAGCATAGAGACAGAAAGAGAGAGAGATGGGATAGAGACAGAGACAGAGAAAAGGAGAGAGATGAAACAGAGAGACAGAGGAACAGCAAGTCAGAGAGAAGGACAGAGAGAGTCAGAGAGAGAAAGGCAGAGAAACAGAGACAGAGGAGAGAGATGAGAAGATCACTCACTCACACACACACACACACACACACACACACACACACACAGAGAAACAGAAAGAGGCAGACAGGAATAGACAGAGGCAGAAATTGAAAGAGACAAAGAAATAGAGACAGAGACAGAGACTCTGAACGTTTCATTCCTGGTCTCCCTGCTCTTGGCTCCAGGAAGCAGACCCTTAGGAGTTAATGGCTAGCTTCTTCCTGACATGCATGGCTGACCAGAGCCAGGTTCCCCTGGCCTCAGCGCAGGCTACTGCACCAACCCCAGTTCTGGTTGAGGCTGGTCCTGTGACCTTTAGTCCTGAGCTGAGAACAGACAGACGCTTCAGACACAGGCTCTCTAGACCTGAACATTTTGCCCTCTGGCCAAGGCCCTTTGGCAGCTCCCAGGGTGAAGCGGGCAGCCATGTGTACAACAGCAGCAAATGCCCTGAGCATAGGCACTCTGCTGTCTCTCACAAAGCTGACAGATAGGAAGAGAGCAGGGACAATGAAGAGCTCTCGTTTCTGGAGCACCGCCCAGTTTATAAAGTGCTTTTTCTACCAACTCTGTGAAGGAAGTAGTACAACTATGTACTGCTGTCACCATTTTATAAATGGGGAAACTGAGGCCCAGACAGTTTCAGTGGCAGAACCAGGACTTTCCATTATGCCATAAATATCTGAACTTATAGAACACTGCTTCAATCCTTTCTTATGTGAAGGAGTCCATGTATATTGTAAGCCAGCTAACACCCAGGGGACAGAGAAAGTGCTCTGTTATCCTGGGCTCCTGTTAGTTATTTGGTTATTATCCACCTGCACTGTGGCAGCCTCACTGGAAAACTCTGTGTTGTCTTGCTTTTTACATAATCAATCCACAAAAATTTATTATATGTCTAATGTGTACCAGGTACTGTGCTAAGTACTTTTTGCAAAGAGTATCTCATTTGATCCTTGCAACAATCCTGCCAGGCAGGTGCAATTATGTCCATTTTACAGTTGAGGAAACTGAGGCAAATGAGGTCACAAATAACTTGCCCAGGGTCATACAGCTAGCAAGTATGTGAAGCTGTATTTCAGTTCAAGTCTTCCTGACTCCAGAGTCCGTGTTCTGTCCACCAGCTGCTTCTGATGCAGAAGCGATAGATGTCTTACAGAGATACCTACCTGCCTTACTAGAATAAGTGTTGGTTTTCAATGGCACGTTGAAGTCTGCAGAAGACTTTATGGAACTTGACCTATTTGAGCCTCACAACAGGGTAGGTACTCCGGGTTTCTTGTCTCAATTTTACAGATGAGGAAACTGAGAGAAACTCAGGGAGCCTAAATGACTTGCCCATGGTCAGTTAGCTAATGAGGTGAAATTTGAATTGGCTGACCCCTGACTTCAAGCACTCTACCCACTATTACATGCTGCCCATGTGACATAGTTCTAAAACATACAACAAGCATTCACTGCTTGGTGAGATGACTATGTCTTCTGCGTGTTTCTCAGCTCCAACAACCTTCAGCTATGTGCCTCAGGACACATTCATGATCCGGCACAACTGACACCTAACAGTGAAGAATTATCTCTTGTTTATGAAAAGGGAAAGGGAGTCGAAGTGTTCTGGGAAGCTTTGGGGCCCCTGGGGAGAAGTGGAAGAGTTACTATCACTGTTATGAGATGAATAATTTAAGCCTGAGCAGGCCGAGCAAGGGACGGGTGAGAGTGCAGAAGCCCCATTAAATCAAACACGGAGTCAGATTACAGACGAGGCAAAAAGGAAACAGAACAAGTAAGGATAGCACAGCGGAAGCATGCATAATTGAATCTTTCTGTGAAACGGAGAGAAACAACAGGCCGGCCGCTGTGTGATTTCATAAAATGTCAGAGTGACTGATCTTAGAGCTCGTCCAGTACAATCTCTTTATTTTACAGAGGGATTAAGTGATTTACCCAATGTGGCAGAGTTGGGACTAGAACCGAGGTCTACAGATTCCCCATCCAGATCATTTCCCATTGCACTGCCTTGATTTTGCGGCTGGATCTCCTTTCTATTTTTACAAAAAACAAAAACAAAAAAAAACAAAAACATCTTGAGGTATATGACTGGTTGAATACAGCACCTGCAACGGGTGAGGATGATGACAACTGTCTAGAAGGTGCTCTGTAACCACTTTTGGATGGATGGATAGTGTTGATAGTAATCGTCTTCCTTCCCACCAAAGTTTGTGTTTCAGAAACAAAAAGGTGACCTTACCTTAATCCCACCTTTGGGTTTCTTGATGCTTTTCTTTTTCAACAACTCTGCTTCATTGACTGTCTTGGGAGGACAGGGAACTTCAGTTATTCTCCTACTGGGAGCTGGGAAGACAAAGAAAAACCTAGATTAATTTGGCCATTTGGTGTATGATTTATAGGCGTGAATGGCATCAGAGGGCTAAAGACGTTATCAGCTTTCATGAAGTACTGAAATATCCTCCTGGTCGGTCTTTGTGTATACAGCCTCCCCTATTCCAGTCCATTCATCTACAGCTGCCAAACTGGTATTCCGAAAACACAGGTCCAACCATTATCACATCCCTATACAAGAAGCTTCGGTGCTTCTCTCATCACCAGGTTTCTTTTCTGCTGCCTAAAGATAAGCCTAATTATCCCTTATTCTTAAAAACAAAACAAAGCAAAAAACAAAAACAAACAAACAAAAAACTCTAAGCCCTTCCATCCCCTCAACCTATCCTAAATTTATCCATCTTGGAAGTTTTAGGCAAACTCTACTTTCTCCACTTTCACTCACTTCTAAGCCCTTTAAGCTTCTGATCTCACCACTCAACTGAAACCTCCTCTCCAAGATTACCAATGATGACTTAAGTGCCAAATCAAATGGTTTTTTCTCGGTCCTCATCCTCTAGACTTCTCTATAGCATTTGACCCTGCTGACTGCCCTCTCCTTAGGGATCCTCCCTCCTCTCTGGGTTATCATGACACTGCTCTCCCTTGATTCTCCTCTTATCTCTCTACGTGTTCATTCTCAGACTTTTTTGCTGATTCATCATCCATATCACCACGTAACAGTGGTCATATCTCAAAGCCCTCTGCTGTGTCCTTCTCTGTAGGGATTCCCTCACTCTCATTGGTTCCCATAGGTTCAATTATTAACTCTACATAGATATATGACTCCCAAACTGATATATTTCAGCTTAGTCTCTCTCCCAAGATCCATTTCCATAGCTCCAAATACCTATTAGACATTTCCAACTTCACATCCTGTAGATATCTCACAATCAACAGGTCCAAAACAGAATTCATTGTCTTTCTCCCCTAAACCTTCCCATCTTCTAAGTTTCCTCATTTCTGTCAACAGCTATCCTTTCTCACTATCCTTCCAGTCACCCAGGTTTTCAACCTAGCTTTTAGCTGTTACAAATAAAGCAGTTGTTATATTTTTTCACAGATAGGTCCCTTTCTCTAATGTTCTCTTTAGAATAGAAAGGCAATGAGACATAGGCTGGGAGAGAGCTGACTTCAGAACCAGGTGGACTTAAGGTTGAGTCTTACTTCTGCCACATACTGATTGGGTGACCTTGGGCAAATGACTTACCCTCCCAGTGCTCTGGGAAGGTCTAAGTTGAGAAAAATTGACAATCTGTACTGGTAGAGGAAGATTTTTCATTTGGAACTTCCTTATATCAATGAAATCACAGATGAAGTCCCTATTTCTACCTTTAGAATAAAGTTCCAGGAAGGATTCCAGCATAATCTTGGGACCTCACCTTATGAGTACTTTTAAATACATCAGAACCAGTAACATTATAGGGAAAGCCCAGAGCTTCTAGGTCTAATAAAAACATATTGTAAACAGCTAGGGAGAAAGAGTAAGGATTACACATAATTTAGCAGCCATCACAATAAGGACGTGGAGAGCTTGCAATACGATATTTTAGAACGCAAAAGATATAAGTTTAAAACCAAGAATAACCTACCCAGAAAAATTGATTATGATCCTACAGGAGGAAAAAAAATAATCTTTAATGAAACCAAAGACTTCCAAGCATTCCCAATAAGAAGACCAAAGTTATGCAGAAAGTTTGAAGTGCAAACACAGGAATAAAAAGAAACATAAGTAGGTAAACACAAATGAATAATCACAAGGGATGAAATGTCTAATATGAGGGAGATAATAATGTGTCCCAGTGAATTCTATTATCATCTGGGATCACAGAAGGAATCTAATTAGTCAGAAGGTCTGGGAATAGTTCTGTTATATCTTGACAAATTTAAAGGAAGAATGGAAAAGGAAGAGGAAAGTTAGGGAAGATTATCTCACAGGATCAGGAGGTGCAAGTAGATTCTATGCAAACAAGGAAGAAGGAATGGAAGGAGTGACTGATATTTGAATCTCACTCTCATCTGAACTAGTCAAAGGAAGGAAGAATAAACATACAGTTGGGCTCAGAAATACATTTCACTCAACAGGGGGAAAGGAGGGGAAAGGGAGAAGGAATAGAGCGAGGGTAGATGAAGGGAGGGATTAGTTCTAAGCAAAACAAACTCTACGAACGTCCAAAAATACGTTCTTTTTTAGGTGGCAAAGAAGTGGAAACTGAGGGATGTCTATCAATTAGGGAATGGCTGAACATGGGTTGATATATAAATGTGATGGAATACTATTATGTTGTAAGAAATGATGAAGGGGATGGTTTCAGAGAAATCTGGGAAGATTTGCATGAACTGATGCAAGTGAAGCGAGCAGAACCAGGTGAACAATTTTGAAACACTTAGGAACTCTGATCAGTTAGTGTATAGTATAGTGTATAGTGTATAGTATAGTGTATAGTAATCACCAACCATGATTCCAGAGGACTCATAATGAAACATGCTACCCTCCTCCTGATACAGAAATGAAGGAGTCAGAGTACAGAATGAGGCTTTTTGGGCGGACATAGCCAATGAGGAAATTTATTTAGCTTGACTATGCATGTTTGTAATAGAGGTTTTATTTTTTCTTTCTTTCTCAGTTGGAGGGGAGGGAGAAAAGGTTTTTTTTCCTTGCTAATTAAAAAAAAATAATTAACACCCCCCGCCAACAATGAACTGGAGAGCCTTCTTTCCTATAGGCCACCAACAATGAATTCTCTCCCTCTCTCTCTCTCCTTCCCTCCCATTTTTCCTGCTTAGTGGATATAAGATGGTATCTTAAAGCTATGTTCATTTGCATTTCTCTCACTATTAAGGAATTTTAATAGCTTCTCGTGATTATTGGCGATATCTATTTCCTCCTTCAAAAATTAGGTGCTTTGACTGTTTCTCCGTTACAAGTAAATGTGTTGATATGAATATACATCACTTCTCCTTAGACATTTTAGATTTAGACCTGTAGCTGAAATCCCTGAATCTGAGAATTGGCAGGGACCTCAGACGCCATCTCTTTCAGCACCTACACAAGATGAATGCTTATTACAACATGCCTCATAAGCAGTCACCTAACTTCTACTTAAAAACTTCTCAGGGGGCAGCTAGGTGGCGCAGTGGATAGAGAACTGGTCCTGGATTCAGGAGGACCTGAGTTCAAATCCAGCATCAGACACATAATACTTACTAGCCGTGTGACCCTGGGCAAGTCATTTAACCCCACTGCCTATCCCCCCCACAAAAAACTTCTCAGAATGGGGAACCCACTGCCTCCCAAGGCAGCCCATTCCACTTAGCCTATTCCTAATGGTTAAGTAAATTTCCTGACATCAAATCTAAAGTTGCACTTTCCATCTACTGCTACAAATATTTCCCCCTATGGTTTCTTTTTGTCTCAGAGATAATTGTTTTTGTTGAGCAAATTACTTTTACCTTTGGACATAATCAAACCCACTGGATTTGTGTTCAACAGTTTCTTCAGAATACACCTTCCCACTGTTGAGACAAATATAGCTTTCCTTTTTCTCTCAGTTTTTGAATAGTTTTGAAGTATTTAATTAATCCTCTAGTTTATTATTAACAATAACTGGCAGTTACTTAGAAGGAAGGAAATAATAATTTATTAAGTACCTACTATGTGCCAGGTAAGGTGTTAAGAACTTTATAAACATTATCTCATTCGATCCTCATAATAACCCTGGGAGATCAATGCTATTATATCCCCATTTTTACAGTTGAAGAAACTGAGACAGACAAAAGTTAAGTGACTTGATTGATCAGAGAAATGCAAATCAAAATGACTCTGAGGTACCACATCACATCTATCAGATTGGCTAACATGACAAAACAGGACAATGATAAATGTTGGAGAAGATGTGAGAAAATTGGAACACTGATGCATTATTAGTGGAGTTGTGAACTGATCCCACCATTCTGGAGAGCAGTTTGGAACTATGCCCAAAGGGCTTGTAAAATTATGCATAGTCTTTGACCTAGCAATACCACTACTAGGTCTGTATCGCAAATAGAACATAAAAATGGAAAAAGGACCCACATGTACAAAATATTTATAGCAGCTCTTTTTGTGGTGGCCAAGAATTGGAAATTGAGGGGATGCCCATCAATCGGGGAACAGTTGAACAGGTTGTGGTATATGAATGTAACAGAACACTATTGTGCTACAGGCAGACTTCAGAAAAACCTGGAAAGACTTATATGAAGTGATGCTGAGTGAAATAAGCAGAACTAGGAGAACATTGTACACAGTAACAGTCACAATGTGTGATGACTGACTTTGATAGACTTAGCTTTTCTCAGCAATGCAAGGATCTGACACATCTCCAAAAGTCTCATGATGGAAAATGCTATCCACATCCAGAGAAAGAACTATGGAGCCCAAATGCAGATGGAAGCATACTATTTGCTCTCCTTTTAATCTGTTGTTTTGTTTTATTGCTTTATTCTCATGGTTCCTCCCATTAGTTCTAATTGTTCTTTACATCATGCCTAATGGGAAAATATGCTTAGCATGAATGTATAAGTACAGCCTATATCAGATTGCATGCCAGGGTGGGGGGAAGGAGAGGAAGTGGGAGAAAAATTTTAAACTCAAAAGCTTATGGAAGTGATTGTTGATAAATCAAAATAAATAAATAAAAAATTTTTTAAAATCTTAAGGAAATGAATGTTTAAAACTAAAAATAAATTAATTATATTTTAAAAAAGTTAAGTGACTTGCCCAGGGTCACATAGTTAGGAAGTGTCTGAGGCCAGCACTTCATAAATATTTCATTTGATCTTCACAACCACCCTAGGAGATCGGTGCTATTATACCCCCATTTTTACAGCTGAGGAAACTGAGACAGATAAAAGTTAAGTGACTTGCCTAATGTCACACAGCTAGGAAATTTCTCAGCCCAGATTTGAACTCAGGTCTTCTTGATTCCAGGGTT